CTTTCCTTTCCTTTCCTTTCCTTTCCTTTCCTTTCCTTTCCTTTCCTTTCCTTTCCTTTCCTTTCCTTTCCTTTCCTTTCCTTTCCTTTCCTTTCTCTCTACCCTTTGGGAAATACAGGTCAATATAAGTCCTTTGCATTATCCTAGGGATCACTGTTTATTTAAGTTAGATTAGTACAGATACTTATTTTGATAAATATGGATTCTTGCTGACTCAGTAATATGATAAAAGGGCATTCCTTTTTAGTTCAGAGAACTAGTGCCTGGGAGCTTTCAGTGGAATTCAGTGTAAGATCTTATCATCTCAGGTCAGATGTTATTTATATTGTTATTTTCTACTGTGGCATGATCACTCTTTCAAATGAGGGCTGCAAGAAGTGCCCGCTTTTCAGATCATGTTCCAGAAAAACATTACTTGATTTTGTTTTGGGAAAAGAATGCCAAAAAAAAAAAAAAAAAAAAAAAAAAAAAAAAAAAAAAAAAAAAAAAAAAAAAAAAAAAAAAAAGAGCACTGTGATGCTTTTATTAGACAAGTCAATGAGATTAATCTTAGCTCTGCCTCATCTCATTAGCTTCTTATCGCTAAAAGCCCAGGGGTTGCTGTGACTTTGGATCAGCCCATCTGTGCTATTGATCCCCTGAGTCTTGATGAATTTACAGTTGGACATTGCTGCTGTGGTCACAGCTCCACTGAACTGCCCCCGCACCATGGGGCTCCCCATCACAAATAGCAGTGCTGCGACCATGCATTTTAGACCTACTGAAAGGTCTAAAAGAATGACAGGAGCAATTGGGAACCCAACCTTCTGCCCTAGGACAGTCAATCTTTCATAGGTGGTGGCAGACTGTATTTCTCTTTCCCAGCTGAGTGGGGATTCAGAAGTCTCTATGAGCTGCCCTGCTCATCTCACTGGAATGCAATGGCCATCAGTCCTTGGAGAGCTCATAGACCTGTGCATCCCACGAGACACTCTTCTTGAGGTGCAATGGATGGCAGTACACGGCCTTGGGTTGACCTGGTGCCCTGATGATCTTGCTCATTTGCTGCTTTCCACAATCAACAGTTAGGTGGCTGGTCCCTGCTCTTGGTCCTAAGACTTTAAATGCTAAGAACAGAACATGTTTCAGCATACGTAAAGAACATTTGAATTCTTAGAGCAGGGTATGAAAAGATCTGAGCTTAGGATTCAATGACAACTGCCACTCCTACCACTTCTATATTCCTCTTTTAAAGAAACTAGGCCTATTTGCAACTTCTGTAAAGGTGACTTCAGCAGACAAATCACTGTACCTGCATTAGCATAAATTCCCCATCTTAATTTTAACTAAGAATGAATATTTACTGATTCAGGGCCCTTTGTCTATCCCAGGACCCAATTAGTAGCTGCTTGCTGGAAAAAAAGTCAACACAAAGATGTTTAGACTGCCTCATACTTCTTTTTTTTTCTGCAGATAGGGAGTTTTATTTAGGTCTTACCCTATTGTCCTTCCAAAATACATGTAATGAATCCCTTGATGAGATAATATATTTACCAAATCTTATTCCAAAGTCACACAGTTTGTTCAAAAGAACGTTACAAACAAGTTTGTTTCGGATCCTAGTTTGTTTCGGATGTGAGTTTTTTTCGGATCTTCTCATGATGTGTCCACACAAAGAGAATTGTGGCAACAATTCCCACCTGAAAACTAGCCATGTGGATTTTGGATGGCATAACTCCTTGCTATTGAACAGTTAAACACACTCAAACCATGCAAAACAGAGACTGCTTATTAGAGCATAAGCACATTTAGCAGCCGTTCTCATGGAYGTCTGCATCTCA